TAATTGAATAACGTTCCTTCTAATGTATTCAACTGGTATCCAATTGAATAACGTCCATTCTAATATATTCAACTGGTATCTAATTGAATAATGTCCATTCTAATGTATTCAACTGGTGTCAGATTGAATAACGGCCCTTCTAAATTGTTCCACTGGTATCCAATTGAATTACGTCCATTCTAATGTATTCAACTGTTATCAGATTGAATAACATCCTACTAAAGTATTCAACCAGTATCCAATTGACTAATGTCCATTTTAATGTATTCAACTGTACCCAATTGAATAACGTCTCTTCTAATGTATGCAACGTAAACCGACAAGACGTGGGATATACTGCACTTCGATATTAATCTCTTGCACACAAACATAGATATTGACCCTGCTCAAGATCGTAATTTTAACCAAAAATAAAAAAAAATGGGACGAATGTAAATTGGGACGAATCGACTTGTGGGACAAATGTGAAGTATGATGAATTGACTGTGTAAGTGTGTGAATAGAAAGGGGATGTGTGTGACAATAAATGAGACAGCACTGCTGATATGGTGTGTTTTGTATGAAGCCATAGCCATTTTGATTTTTTTTTTAATTGGAAAATTAGAAAAATTAGAATGCTAAGGTTTGCACCTACTCATCGATAAGAAAACCTGGCTTTTAATAATTACTTACCGTAATATACTAAACAATATATAATCTTTTCTTTTACAGACGAATTTGCTACAACTTTGCCATACAAAGAAACTTGGAGTGGAATTACCTTCTGATGAACAGTTCTCCTAGTTGCAGAATGTAAAATCACTCAATGTATCAAATGTGCACTATACCAAAGTAGTGTTAGAAAATATCAATTATTTAAACAATGCTGCCAATACTCATTGTAAAATAGTAATAATAAATACTAAAGTAGGCCTTTAAATTTGTTGTGCTGTGTGGTCATTGCAAAGTATGTGATACCTTACATTGACTTCAAGGTACACAAATACAATTACATGGTTCAGTTCATTAGAATCTTCAGCAAAATCAAAACACAAAAACCCATCGCAGTGACTGTCAGGCAACATGCTACTGTAAAACAAATGCATAACATAACACAATGTATTCTTTGCAATTTGTATGAAGCCTTTAAGTTTAATTGGCATGCCAAGTAATATGTATAGTTAATCCAACAGTTACATTATTACAATGTGTCCTCATGTCTTGTAAACAACTCGCCAACCTTTTCTGTAGATGTGAAGTAAATTCAATATTGTTTATTATTTAATGAACGAGTAACTGTTTCTGCCCCAGCAATGCTCAAGCTACATTGTAGATCAATTCAAGACAGATAATTAATATATTAAGATTAACTAAAAATTAGGGTTAGACATTTACAGGCAAACAGTAAGCATGAACCAAGTTTTAACTCATTTGTTATTAGGATATCAAAAACCATGCTGTAGTTAACTAGTATTCTGAAATAGTATTTATATACCAAATTTTACTCCATTTAACAGTTAATAAAATATTAATAAAACATGCTGAGTTAATTAGTATGAAACTCAGCAAATTGATATGTTAGACATTCAACTAAAAAAAAACTATCCATTTACTAAGTTCTAACCCATTTGAGCAAACTGCTGTTTATGTAACATCGAAACATGATGAAAGTAATTAATTTCATTCCAATCTACCCACTGGTTCGAGAGATATTGATGGAACAAGATTTGACGCACCATCGGACGCGTGGGACTGTCACGTGCGGGGGTGAACAGGAGGGGAATACCTAACATGCGGGGCAGCGGCATGTTAGTTTGTGCTAAAAAATTGAAACGAATTCTAGCAGCTATCCACACTTTTTATGATCAATACCCGAGCACTTCGGCGAGTAATTTAGAGTATCTTGTGTTCGGTATTTCTTTTTTTCTTTGTACAGTACAGAGTACGGAAAATATGTATATGGTACAGAAGAGGTATTTTCGCTGGCTGTAATCCAATGTTTTTATTAGTCCCTGTTCGGACAAAGTCGGTCTCTGTGTGTCCGACCGTGCATCCGGAGTCACATTTCAGTCTTTGCATGTACCTAGTACTTTATGTGGGACATATGCACATGCAGTAGTTTAGCGATTTGATTCAAAATGTCCTACTGTGGTATCTTGAACATTAGAGGCATGACAAATGTTAAATTGTAATAACGCATTATTTTGAACTGATAAAAAACTGCAAATATTTGAAGACACTGCCTTTACCATATAATTCAACACAAGAGGGCGCTTGACTTGTACAAAAGGTCCATAAGCCACTTTAGTCCAGAACGAACAATACAATTACAAATTGCTGTATTCCCAATCCCAGAAGCTCAAATTCCGCCATTACACAAAGGTAAACATTGTAAGCCACATGTAAAGATTTACATGTAAAAATGTAGTGCCTCATTCCGATCATCAGCATTTTCTCAAGCATACAATTTTAGTGCAATAACATAGACATGCACCTCAATTTGTTTTATTTTCACTTGTAATCTATGTTTTTCTTTGCTATGTCTTAAACCGGAGGGGTCGTTACGCAACACGTGTTTGAATTTGATGTAAATAAACAATCTGTTGTATTTGTCAATTGGGACTAAAGTTTCAAGGACACGCTCACAACAACCCCTCCGCTTTAGTATGATGAGCACAAAGAGAACTATCACAAATTTTACGGGGAATGTGTCATTTTCAATGACTTGTTCTCGTTATAAAGTAATTTAAACAAATGAAAAACGCAGACATGGGCTAGCTTTATAATGTAATCAGTTTTATTCATCCATGATTTGTACAAAGATCTTATATATTGTAAGTGTATAAAGCATTTTCCACATTTTGATTCTTAAACACAAAATATTAAAATAAAGTGTAACAATTCGCTGTAAATTGAACTTTCATTTTACTACCTGTAAAAACGTAAAATGCCTTTTTTATTTCCTGCATCCGGTACCAGTCTCCCCTGCGTGGCCCCACCCACCCGTGCACAGTATAGTGTACGACATATTACGTTTCGTCACAGTCCCTCTATTGACAGAGAGACTTTGGTTTCGTCCACATATTTCAAAGTGTTGACGTCGAGACACATATTCAGCTGTGATTGACACTCTATGTACAACTACAACAAAAAAGGAAACGTACACTGTCCACAATTAAAGTTTAACCTAAGAAAGGCACGTTTTCACCTTACCGTACCATCAATGATGGAAGGCAAAGCTATATAAGGGGGGAAATGTTGTATGGCGTTGTGATCGTCGTCGTCGTCTTTAATAATTGGTATTGTGTGCAAAATAAC